TGTTGTTGTTGTTGTTGTTGTGTTTTTGGTTTTGTGTTGTAGCTGCGCTAACAGCGCCGATGCTCCTGTTGTGTCTCAGATCTATTACCACGGTGAACCCATCAGCGTCAACGTCCACGTCACCAACAACACCAACAAGACGGTGAAGAAGATGAAGATCTCAGGTGTGTTGTGCTGCGTGTGCTGCAGGTGTGTGTGTGTGTGTGTGTGCAGCGGCTGTGTGTCCACTGACCTGTTGTGTGTCTCCGCAGTGCGACAGTACGCAGACATCTGCCTGTTCAACACGGCCCAGTACAAATGCCCGGTCGCCACCGAGGAGTCCGAGTGAGTTCAGAACCACATCGTTCATGCTGCGACCCACAAACACGAGGTTCAGCTTCGCCTGACAGCTTGAAGCACGTCACAGAGTTCAGAGTTCAGTCTCCTGAAGCAGCTTGAAGCGCTGATCCACAGTCAGCGTTTCCTCGTGGACTGATGCAAACTCCTCCAGCTCTCCTCCTGAACGCCCAACGCAGTCTCTGTGAATCCAGTCCGAACATCTTGTTCTGTCTGGTTGTGTTCTCCTGTCCCCTCTCAGCCACCGGGAGCTTCTCCATCCCGGGACTGGAGTGCTCTTTGTTCTTCCATCACCTTTTATTCTTTGCAGACAGTTGGTGTTTCAGTCCAGGTCTTTGGTTGGAGTTCACTCAGGATGGTTCCGTTTATTCATGAGTTCAGTTTAGTTCAGTCTTATTATGTGTTTACGCTTCAATCTGATTGAAACATCTTCATCATATCTCCGGTTTTGTCACTGGTTCAATTTAAAAACTCCCACGACAGAAGCCGAGCAGAACCAGGATGTGTTCTGGTGTTCCTTCTGAGAACGTGTTTGTCTCCTCAGTGACGTCGTGGCTCCCAGCTCCACCTTCTGCAAAGTCTTCACTCTGACTCCGTTCCTGGCCAACAACCGGGAGAAGCGAGGTCTGGCTCTGGACGGGAAGCTGAAGCACGAAGACACCAACTTGGCCTCCAGCACTCTGTGAGTCCACCTGCACCGAGACGCCTTCAGGGCCCGTCGGACTTTCTGGCGTCTGACTGTGTTCTGTCCCCACAGCTTGAGAGAAGGAGCCAATAAGGAGATCCTCGGCATCATCGTGTCCTACAAGGTCAAAGTGAAGCTGGTGGTGTCTCGAGGCGGGTCGGTACTCTCTGTTCTTCATGTGTTTACATATGTGTCTGAGTTTGGACCAGTCAGAATAGCAGACCTCGGGTCAGACACTGACCTCAGCAGGCAGCTGAACAGGTCCAGTTTAGTCAGAATAACAGCTGCTGAGATCTCAGTCTTCATTGGTCTGAACTGATGTGCAAGGCTTCTGATTGGCTGTTGGTCCAGCAGCGATGGGTGCTGCTGTAGAGGATCAGATGTTAGAAACAGAAAGATCTCATCAGGAGGAGCTGAAGCAGCTGAGCTCACACATCTCCACTTTAACTCTGACTCCTCATGATTCTGGTTCCAGATTTCTTTAATTCAAATCCCCTTTGTCCTGTTCAGATCCTTGATGAGGTTTGATGTGGTCAGCATGACGCTGTAGGATCTCCTCAGAGTGACTCCAGATGTAGGATCAGAGTAAATGTGTAGGTTCAGCTGCAGCTCTTTCTTCTCCACACATCTGGATGCTGTGATAGCAAACAGCTGATCTGAAGGCAGCTCAGCACACAGTGACAGCTAATGAGAGCGTCGATATGAACGAGTGGACACATGCTGACGCTGTTCATGTTCATTGATTTCAGGCTCCTGGGAGACCTGGCGGCCAGGTAACCTTCACCTCCTGTCACCTGAGCAGCTTCCAGCCACACTGACACACATTTATACACACTGCTGTGCTGCTATGAGCTGTGCTTCATTAACACATGTTGGTTTTCCAGCGACGTCTCAGTGGAGCTGCCGTTCACACTGATGCACCCGAAGCCCTTAGAAGAGTCCATCTACAGAGACGGTGAGTCAGGCGTCAGGTTTCTGTCATTCCTTCATCGTCTGTGCTCTGATAGGACCACGCGCTGCTCTGATCAGAATAACTTTAAGTATAGGCCATGATAAGGAGAAAGCCCGCTTTCACTTGAAGGAAACCTTAAGGAGAAGACTTAAGGTGGTTCTGGTTTATCTGGACCCTCTGAACTCCACCAGGTTCCTCACTGTGGCTTCTGTTGTCTGCATGAATCAGAAAAACATTTCAATTTCTTCAAATATAAAGATCCTGGAACCAACATGTCCAACCTGTTTCCATCACTGGAGCACAGAGAGTCTGCAGATGCTGGAGATGATTAACTGTCTGCATGTTCTCAGCTTCTGCAACAGGTTCACTCACTTTGTTCTACTGGAACAAAAAAAGTGCTTTACTCCTCGTCCTGCAGATGTTGAACGATCT